CAGATTTTTAACATGCACTGTCTATTTTACCTTGGAGATTAGAGTGATTTTCATGAAGTGCCAGGAGTGCCATTCAGACCTGCTAAAGCTTCAAGTGATTGAGACCCACTAATGAGTCTTTGCACACTGACTACCCTAGAAAAGCATAAAAGTGGGATCTCATCGTCTTTGCTCAAGCAATTAGCTTTCCATACAGTGGTTTTCCATCCTGAAGCTGTTTGTTTTAATCCTGAAGAGAATAAGCAAAAAGTCAACATTGTCAACTTCCTAAACAGCCCAGTCCTAGTCCACATCAACACATCTGGGCTTATCAGGGTACTCTTCAGTGAGCTAAAACACAAAAAGTAGTGGAAACTTGGACCAATGACTAGGGAGGAGTATAAGAGTGTTGTTTGAGCATGCAAGGATGAAATCAAGAAGGCCAAAGCACAACTGGAGATGCATCTAGCAAGGGGCATGAAGGGTAACAAGAAGAGTTTCTACAAGTATGTCAGCAACAAGAGGAAAATCAGGAAAAGTGTGTGTCCCTTACTGAATGGAGGAGGCAACCTAGTGTTAGATGACATGAAAAGGACTGAAATACTCAATGCCTTTTTCACCTCAGTCTTCACTGGCAAGGTCTGCTCCCATACTATTATACCTGGCAGGACAGCTTGGGAAGGAGATGAACAGCCAGCAAAGAACAGGTTAGAAATTATTTAGAAAAATTGTATGTGTGCAAGTCTTATGTGGCTGGACACAACACACATGAGTGTACTGAGGGAGTTGGCCAATGTGATTGTAGAGCCTAAGGCCATCATCTTTGAAAACTCATGGTGACTGGGAGAGATCCTAGATGGGAAAATATAGTACCTAGCTTTAAGAAGAGAAAGGAGGAGGATCCAGGGAACTACAAACCAGTTAGTCTCACCTCAGTCCTTGGAAAAATGGAGCAGGGCCTCAAGGAATCCATTTCTCAGGACTTGGAGAGGAAGAAAGTGATCAGGAACAGTCAGCATAGATTCATCAAAGGCAAGTCATGCTTCACCAACCTGATTACCTCCTATGATGAGATGATTGGCTTGGCAGATGTGGGGAAAGCAGTGGCTGCAATATACTTTGACTTTAGCAAACTTTTGATACAGTCTCCTACAACACTGTCATCAGCAAGCTAAGGAAGTACAGTTTATATTAATGGATTGTAAGGGGGACAGAAAACTGGCTAAACTATCAGACTCAAAGGGTAGTAGTCAATGGTTTGATTTCTAGTTGGCAGCTAGTATCAAATGGAGTGCCCCAGGGGTTGGTCCTGGGGCCACCTTTGTTCAATATGTTCATCAATGACCTGGAAGATAGGATGGAGTATACCCGTATCAAGTTTGCAGATGACACCAAGCTGGGGGGAGCAGTAGATATAGTGGAGGGTAGGGCTAGGATTCAGAGAGACCTAGACAAATTGTTGGGAGGGTGGACCAAAAGAAATCTCATGAGGTTCAATAAGGACAAATGCAAAGTCTTGCTCTTAGGACAGGAATAATCCCATGCACCCCTACAGGCTGGGGACTGATTGGCTAAGCAGCAATTCTGCAGAAAAGGACCTGAGGGTTACAGTGGACAAGAAGCTGAATATGAACGAACAGTGTGCCCTTGTTGCCATGAAGGCTAACAGCATACTGGGCTTCATTAGTAGAAGCACTGCTAGCAGATTGAGGGAAGTGATTATCCCCCTTTATTTGGCATTGGTGAGAATACATCAGGAGTACTGTGTCTAGTTTTGGGCACCCCACTACAGAAAGGATGTGCATAAATTGGAAAGAGTCCAGTGGAGGGCAACAAAAATGTTTGAAGGCTGAGGCACATGATTTATGAAGAGAGGCTGAGGGAACTGGTCTTATTTAGTCTGGGGGAGAGAAGACTAGGAGCATTAAATAGTAGCCTTCAACTACCTGGGGCCTGGTTACAAAGAAGATGGAACTAAACTGTTCTCCTTGGTGGCAGATAAGAAAACAAGGAGCAATGTTCTCAAGTTGAATCAAGGGAAGTTTGGTTACATAATAGTGTAACAGACTGCCAATGTGGGCTCACCAGATTGGCTGGAGATACTTACCCTGGGCTAGAAACAGTGCCGGTGAACTTTGAACGACCCCAAAGGTGGAGCAGAAGAGCTCTGCCCTGTGGAAAAGGAGAAGCCAATAAAAGAAGGGGCTTTCAATCCCCTCATTTGCATGGAAGGGGGATGGCCAGGGTTGTGAGCCAGCCACTCTGAGCCCTGGTGGCCGGTTTACAAGCCAGGGAGGCACTGCCTGAGGGGATAAAAGCAGCAGCCAAACTGGAATATGGGGGCTGCTGACACTGACTCTAGGGAACATGCAGGGGACCTTAGAAGAGCTGGGGTGAGCTGACCCAGCAGAGAGACCCCTCTGAAGAGCCTCGAAGGCCCTGGGAGAAGAAGGCAGCAGCAGTTGGCCATGCCTCCAGCCCTGCAGCAGAAAGGGAGCTGTGGCCAGGGCTTGGGGCAGAAAACTGGTGCCCCAAGGCCCCATCGCAGTATGCTGGATGTGCTGGGCATCCAGGAGGCTAGGGGTGGCAGTCGGCCCCCCACTCCACTGTGGAGAAGAAGCAGCGGCCAGGAACATAGGCGGCATTCTTATCCGGAGCAGGGAGCTGACCTGTTGAGTTGAGAAAACCCCTTACCTTCCCTGGGGAAGTGGGACAGCAGCAGGCAGGGCATTGGGATCCTTAGGAGTGGCACAGCGCCAGGATGAGAGTCCCTGGGAGCTCAGGGCGCAGGATGGCACTCCGAGCAGGATTGGTGAATTGTGTGGGGCACCCGGCCACTCAACTGGAGCAGGGGTTTAGAGTAGCAACCCCTGGGATCTGCTTGTGCTGCTGACCCTCTGCCACTGACTGCCCCAGAGGGGACTTGGTCCTGTCCCTTATTCTGCAGCTGATTGTCATTGGATGGAGTCCCTGAGCTTTGTGCTTGGGTCATGCCAATTGCTGCAGGAGCCTACTCTGTTGCTTGTTGCTTGCCTTTTTGGTTACCACAGAGGGTCACCCTTCAGCCTGTTTTGGGGGTTGGGGTTTGATACAATTTGATTGCTGCAAACCAGAAGAGCTTACACTGTTGCAGTCTGTCGCTTATTGGGAAGCCTGTTGGAGCTGCAGGAAATGAGCACCCTGCTTCCTTGCTGTAGCATCTCAGTAGTGGCTGAAAGCTGCCAGTTAACCTACCTGTGGTTCTTGAGTCACGGGTTGACAAGTGCATCCTGGTTTGTTTTGCCATTTAAGTTCACTTGCAAATAACCTTTCCTATTATTCTTGTTTTGTAAATAAAATATAAATAGTTAAATCAGTTAAGTGTTAGACCTTTTTGGGACCATGGGCTGCTCTGTAGGGAGCAGGGACCGGCTGAAAAGTAAATTGGTGCTGGCCGGAAGCTCTGCCCCACTCTCACTTTACCATCTCTGATATTTGGGCAGAGGTGGCAACTATTGGGCTGCCACCCAAGTTACATTAGGAGAACCTTTCTCACTGATAAAGCACTTGAGCTGGCTACCTAGAGAGGTTGTGAAATCTTCATCCTTGAAGGTTTTAAGACCTGGCTAGATAAAGACTTGGCTGGGATGATATAGTTGGATTGTCCTGTTTTGAGCAGGGGATTGGACTAAATGACCTCCTGAGGTCCCTTCCAACCCTAATTTTCTATGATTCTATGATACGGTTCTATTTCTAGTCTTCACCTGAGCAGAGATGGCAATCCGAATGTTTTGGGTCAAATTTTCCACTCCTCAGAGTACTGTTTATTGCAGAAGAGCTAGGCCAGTGAAGAACTTTGCCTAGGATATGCTGGCTGTGTAAAGTAGTAAAGCCAGAGGGCTATATAATCTGTGAGTCAAATGGGTGTCTGAAAGCAATTTGCAAGCTGAATGAGGACAAACTAAGGCAATTATAACAATAAGGTGCCCAGAGTAAATGAACTCTTGAAACTTCATTTTTAACAACTTGATCTTGCAACCTTAGTGCCTCATTAACACAAGTTTGAGAATGCATTTCCTATGATAGTAGCATAACTTCATGCTTCTTATAGTCTAAAAACTGTCTGGTGTGCTTTATATTTATACATCCTTAGTTCAGTAGGGCCCTGGCCTCTCAGCATGACCACAATATTTATTAGTAAATGTATTATAGAATCAAAGCAATGCTATAGTTATTTGTGGAAAAGTGATTTCTCAAAGACAGTAACAATTAGCAAGTAAAGGAGTGAACCATTAAACAAGGCTTTGAGGGGCCAAGCCTCCTATGTAACAGCAATAAAGCAACCAAAAGAAATCTACAGAAGTAAAGACTAGTAATGGCTTGTAATCATACCATCCTCCCTCAAAAGGATAAGCTCCGTAAGTCTCCCATTCAAATTCAATAAGAGAAAATGCAGGGGAAATATTTTAGATGATTATTTCCATCAAAAATAAGTGCTAGTAAGTCATCATTAATATCTGTTTTTACCATATTCAGGGTTAATACTTTTTAGAGAATTTCAATGCAATACAAATGTTCTTTGGATGCAGCCAAGGCTGAACTGTACAAGGACATAAATAGGTACAGTCCAATTTTAGAAACAGGCCCTGACTCTTAACCAATAATAATAATGATGATGGACATTTATATTCCACTTAATTCAGAAGGATCCCTGAGAACTTTATAAAGCACAGTGTGGAAATAAGTTTAACCAGGTCTCTTACTTGACTAAGAGGAGAGACAAAGAGAGAGAAAGAGAAGAGAAAAAGATGCTGATGCTATGTGTTTTAAAATGCTCTAAGATGAGGAAAAACCTTCATGCCTTGTTTTGTCTTAATACATTAATCTCTGTGTGCAGATGTTAACTTCCCCCTTTCTGGGAACCAGAAACTGATAACTGTTCCCAAAACACAATGTGTTTGCCAAATAAGTAAACTGCCTACGTGTGACAAACGAATGATCAACTTCTTCCTGTTTCTTTAAGGTTGCGCTGTCTGAACCATGCATCTTTTCTCACTGTCTAAAGTATAAATACACTTGTGAACTTATAAAGTTCAGAGTTCCTTTGAGAACCCTCCTTGTGATCACTTGTATAGCTCTAAATAAACTAAGATGGCTGTGTCAATTCTGATACAACCACAACGTGAAGTTTGATTTCTTCCACAATTTGGTGCCGTGACTCAGATAGGGACGCCCGGAGTGATCGGTTGAGATACAGACCATCTCTTCACTGATGCCCCGGTGCCAAACTAAGGTAAGAGACCTTTTGAAATCTCTATTGGGGCTTTTTGGTGAGAGACTGCCTGTGTGTCTTCCTGTTTGCTGCTTGAGGCTTACCCTATCCGACCCTTTTGCTGCCAGAATTGTCAGACCTACTGTGTAAGTAGGAACTGTGAGGAGAAAACAGTTTGAAACTGTGTTGCTGTTGTCAGTGAATGTGTTTCCCTGTGTGAATTGAGTTAAGTTCTGTAAAGAACTATGAGGTCTTTCTGAAGCTAGGAGTGGAAACCTTGTGCAGCCGCCCCAAGGACGCCAGACTTGTTCTGTGTGGTCTTCGAAAGCAAGGGTGCAAGGTGGAAACTCTTAGACTGAAGGAGATCAGGGTTGTGTGGAGAATTTTCCCTACCCCCGCTCTCATGAATGAGCCATGTCTAACAGTGAGTAACTGCATTGTATGCTGGTGCTATGGATATAAGCCACAGCATTTCTGTGCCGCTAGCAAATCTCACAACCTGACTGGACACCCTCAATAAGCCTCTCCTGTGTGAAAGACCTGCGTGAATTGAGCTTAAAGACATGAGGAGTGGAGGGTCTAAAGACATACCGGCTCCACCAAAAGGGACTCCAGCATAGTACATGTACACACACTATGGCCATAAAAGTTGTAAGTTTCTAGACAAATGGAATTGGTATACCAGAGATGATTCTAGCTTGCAGTTTCCCCTGGAGGGAACATTTGATTTAAGTAAAATCATTCATCTCTGCGGAGCCCTTGAGTCAAGAGGCAGTAAAACACCACAGACTCAGTGGGGGACATTTTTTGATTAGTATGCAGAAGCTTCCAAAAGACATCAAGAATGTCAAGATCGAAGCCTAAGGACTCCCAAGAAAAACTAAAATCTCAGATAAAGGAATTAAACAGAAAAATGCACCAATAGGGGATCCCCCATCAACAGCACCAACACAACTTTATCCACAATTGACTGAGAATGAATCTGTAGAAGACATAATTGATTTTTTTTTTTAGACACAATTGATTTAACCCCCATACCACTCCCAGGCACAATCTGGACCGGAGGAAGTTCAAAGTAACCAAATAGATTCTTCCTGTGGAATCAGCCCACCCCATCAGGAAAACTGACTGGGCCAAAATAAATAACTGTAAACGAAATAAAGGAGAATCTCCAGCAGACTATATGGATTGCTTGAAACTCGTATTTGAAAGACATTCTGGCATTTAAGATGCAGCTGAAACTGCCCCAGAAGCAGTTGCCGCCGCTTTTGTCCAAGGATTTCTTTCTAAAGTCCAGGAACAGCTGCGTATAATTGCTGTAGGTTGGCAAACCAAGTTGCTTACAGAACTAGTCACGATTGCTAATCATTGTACAGCCTGCCAAGAAAAGAAAAAGGAATTAACGGAAACTAAGCTAATGTCTTTACAAATACAGACCTTAGGCAGAGGTAGAAGCTGAGGTTTCCATCAAGGACCATTCAGAGGCAGGGGACGTGGTCGTGGGATGGGATGAGGACAATTTCAGTCCAAAATAATGACAGTTATTATTGTGGCTAACCAGGACACTGGAAGGCTCAATGTCCTCATTGGCCGGGCCAGCCAGGGATGACGTTTGACCAGCCACCACCTCCTCTCACTCAATTATCTGCCCCGAATCAAGGAGTCTCCTGTTAGGACAGCCTGAGGAATGATAACATGATCACAGCCCCGCTTCTCTCACTTAATCAAGAGGATCCTTTTGTTTCCTGTTTAATAACTGGCACTCCTACAAAATGTTTAGTAAATACTGGCGCAAGTCTCTCTACTCTCTGAGCTTAAGAATTTTCTACAACTCCCCTCTCCTCTGCTGTGGTAAACGCTGTAGGAATTTCAAATCGGATAGTTCCTCATCCTGTTCCCCAAGCCTTACGTTTTTCTCTTGGCCCTGTTTCTGATCAACATGCTTTTCTCCTCAGTCCTTGTTCTCCCATTAATCTGTTAGGCAGAGATTTGCTTTGTAAACTCGGCTGTACTATTTATGGTTCTGCTAATGGTGTTTATTTAGATGTTCCCTGTGTTAATGAAATTGCTGTACATGCTACCCTAACTAGCTCACCTCCTAAGCCTGAGTCCCCTAATTTTTCTATGTTACAAAAGGAAATAATAAAGGCTGTCCCTCCATTTCTCTGGTCCCAACATCCTAATGAAGTAGGGTAAATACATACTGCCCAGCCTGTAAAAATTAGATTAAACCCAGCTAAACTATTACATAAAGTTGCTCAATACCCTTTATGCCCAGAAACCAAAGAAGGGATGCATCCTGTTATAACGGCCCTTTTGAAGCAAGGTATCATTGTTCCAACTAAGAGCCCTTGTAATATGCCTATCCTTCCTGGAAAGAATACCTATTGCTTTGTACAAGACCTCCGTGCAGTAACTTCTGCAGTTTTACCTAGTTTTCCTGTTGTACCAAATCCAGCCACTATCTTGTCCTGTATTCCTCCTAATGCCTGTTATTTTACTGTTGTTGACTTGTGTTCTGCATTTTTCTCTATCCAATACACCCTGATAGCCGGTTTCTCTTTGCATTCACCTATCAGAGACTTCAGTATACCTGAACTTGATTGCCCCAAGGCTATACTGAATCCCCTTCTCTTTTTCCTCAAATTCTGAAGAAGGATTTAGATGACATAATAATTAAAGAAAATTCTGTGCTTGTGCAGTACGTTGATGATCTGCTCTTGGCATCTACCTCCCTTAATGCCTGTAAAGCTGATTCTTTAACTCTCCTCACCTCTCTTGCCCTAAAAGGCCATAAGGCATCTAAAGAAAAGCTACAACTTTGTCTCCCT